CAGGAATCAGGGTCTCTCAGACCAGAGCCCTCCGGGGGCAGGGCCAGCCTCGGGGGCTGTGGGGAGAATGCTGTGGAGGGCGTGCCCTTCCCTGCAAGCCCCTCCCAGTTCACCCCCACAGTCAAGAATGCAGGAAACTGGTCCCTCCTTCCCACCCTCTGCCCAAGTTGTGCAAAGGTAGAGAACCAGGCTGGAACTGCCAACCCAGTGTCCCTGGACGCCGAGTTCTCTCCCTCTATCTGGACAGTTTGGGGACTAGACACCAGCTGGGGCGTGAAGAGTGGGAATCGGGTCCCTAAACATGCGTGAGGCTCATCAGAGACCAGGAGTCAGGGGAGAGCAGGATACCTCCTGGTTCCTGAATCCAAGGAGGACCCAGAGCCCCGGACTTGGCGCCCTGACCCGGGGCCGCACCCCTGCCTCCTGTCCCCAGGGTTTGCCTTCCCGGATTGGGCCTACAAGCCGGAGTCGTCCCCTGGCTCAAGGCAGATCCAGCTGTGGCACTTTATCCTGGAGCTGCTGCAGAAGGAGGAGTACCAGGGTGTCATCGCCTGGCAGGGGGACTACGGGGAATTCGTCATCAAGGACCCCGACGAGGTGGCTCGGCTCTGGGGCATCCGAAAATGCAAGCCCCACATGAATTATGACAAGCTGAGCCGGGCCCTGCGGTGAGGAGGGGCTGGGGCCCGGTACTCCCGCTCCCACCTCGCCCCTCTCCCCTCACTGTCCCTCTGGGCCCCCGCCCCCTGGGGGCTTTCCCTCAACTTCCTGGGGCAGAATCCTGTGGGATCCCAGCACACAGGGCTCTGCACGTGTAGCTGCTGTAAGTACCTACTTGTGAGTGAAAGGAAGGCACGAAGGAAGGACCGGAGCCCTGGGCTCTGGAGCCACACGGGCCAGGATCCCAGCCCCTGCCTCACCCCTTCCTTGCCCTGTGACCTTGGCCAGAGGATTTCCGCGAGCCTCGGTTTCCCCAGGTTGTTGTGCTCTGTGCTGGGCACAGAGCCTGTGTTAGGGGCCCCACCCTCACCTCCCTGGGCCCCGCCCCCGGCATCAGCAGCCTCCTCCCGCCCACAGCTACTACTACAACAAGCGGATCCTCCACAAGACCAAAGGCAAGAGGTTCACCTACAAGTTCAACTTCAGCAAAGTCGTGCTTGTCAACTACCCACTGTTGGACGTGGCAGCAGCCACCACGGGCTCTCCACTCTTGCTGACCCCTGGTCCCTTTGCGGGAGCCCCTGGGCCAGATGCTCCTCCCCTCACCCCCGAGGTGAGTTAGGATCCTGGGATCCCAGAGCGAGGTGCTTAGTGCCATGAACCCCTTGGGGAGGGGGCAACCAGTCTGAGTGGCACCCACTCCCTCCCTTCCCTCTCCAGACCCTGCAGACCCTGTTCTCTGCCCCACGCCTGGGAGAGCCGGGGGCCCGGGCGCCCCTGTTCACCCCCGAGACAGACAAACTGCGTCTGGACAGCCCTTTCCCGTTCCTGGGCTCTGGTAAGGGCCTGGGGTCCAGGTGTGCCGGGGAGGGCTGTGTGAGGGCAAAGATGGGGGAGGAGACAGGATGCAGGAAGGAGGCTCCAGGCGAGGGAGAGTGTGTGTGTGTGTGTGTGTGTGTGTGTGTGTGTGTGTGTGCACGTGCGTGTGCGTGCGCGCACGTGTGTTTAAAAGTCGGAGGATGTGAGGTGAGGCAGGGAGGAGGGAAGCTGGAAAGGGGGGACAGGCCGAGAGAAGGGTTTTCTGGGGGCGCTAAATGAATGGGAGACAGGTGGGGAGGTAGAGATGGGGGGAAGCCTCGTGAGGGTGGGGAGATCCCATGTGGGGAGGACAATGGGAGAATCGGGTGGAATATGGCAGGGAGGTGGCACCCTTTACTAAGGCCCCGGCAGCCAGACCCGATAGTGGGGCAGAGAGGCCCAGCCTGAACGCCACCCCCGTTCCCTCCCCCCACCAGGTGCCACCGGCTATTCCAAGCCCCCCGGCCTGCTGGGTCCCTTCGGCCGCGCCTTCCCAGAGCACCCCTGGAACTTTAGCCCCTACCTCACCGGCCCCTTCCCCAAGCTGCCCCCGCCTCTCTACCCCCCCCACTTCTACCCCAACCCTCTGGCCAGTTCCCTGGGCCACCTGCCCTCAGCAGGGGCAGGGGGAAGCCCCACCGCTGCGCCCCTGCTGGCTGCCACCGCAGAGGGCCTGGGCCCCGAGCGCCCCTCGGGCCTGGCAGCAGCCCCTCGCCTGGCACTGCCGAGGGCTGGGGGCCCAGAGGCCACGCTGGGGGGGAAGGACAGCGACTCGGAGCTGGAGATTACCGACGTCAGCGGCTGCAGCTCTGACAGCGAGGGCGAGGAGGGCCTCCCCGTGCCCCCCAAGGCCAAGGCGGGCAAAGGGGGTGTCGGCAGCTGAGCCAGGGTGATGGATTCTGCCAGGGCGGGGACCAGGGTGGCCGCTCGCACAGCCTCTTCCGTTGTCTGCTCTGCTCTCGATGTCCTGCCTGAGGCCAGGGACCAGCCTTCGGCCCCTCCCAGGCCCACGGTGGCCCCAGTCTTCTTCCCCAGCCCCAGATTGGGGGGGTCTCACCTCCCCCTCCAGAGAGGGGAGGGGACACGATGGCCTCCAGCCTCCTCCCCAGGCTCCAGTTTGAGGGGGTCCCTGCCTGGCCCACTCCCAAAGTGCAATACGGCGCCCAGCCTTCCCTGCCCACCTGCCCCTGTGCTGTGACCTACGTGTTCGTGCGGCCATGTCTCCCCCTGTGCCGGCCCCAGTCCTGATGCCCCCGCCTCCATCACAGGCCCCCTGGGGACAGGGAGCTCAGAGCAATAACCCCGCCCCCAGCCCCCACCCAGGAGGGCCCCCCCGGCCCCATGACCCCCACCAGCGACCTCCAGAGAGTTTACTACAAAAATAAAAGAACAGAAAGAAGTGTGAGATGCAGGGCGCCCAGCGTCATCGTGCGTGACCAGTGGGCTCCGGGGTGGGAGCTGGGAGGGGTGTTGGCGGGGGCCTGGGGAGTCACTATCAAGACACAGGGACGAATGAATGAACAACTGGAGAAAGGCAAAAGGCACAGAGGCGACGGGGTAGGACAGACGCAGGAAGTGATGCCAGACAGTTGTGGAGGATTCCAGACACCACGCCCGGGGGGCCCCGGCAGCCAGGCCCGATAGTGGGGCAGAGAGGCCCAGCCTGAACGCCACCCCCGTTCCCTCCCCCCACCAGGTGCCACCGGCTATTCCAAGCCCCCCGGCCTGCTGGGTCCCTTCGGCCGCGCCTTCCCAGAGCACCCCTGGAACTTTAGCCCCTACCTCACCGGCCCCTTCCCCAAGCTGCCCCCGCCTCTCTACCCCCCCCACTTCTACCCCAACCCTCTGGCCAGTTCCCTGGGCCACCTGCCCTCAGCAGGGGCAGGGGGAAGCCCCACCGCTGCGCCCCTGCTGGCTGCCACCGCAGAGGGCCTGGGCCCCGAGCGCCCCTCGGGCCTGGCAGCAGCCCCTCGCCTGGCACTGCCGAGGGCTGGGGGCCCAGAGGCCACGCTGGGGGGGAAGGACAGCGACTCGGAGCTGGAGATTACCGACGTCAGCGGCTGCAGCTCTGACAGCGAGGGCGAGGAGGGCCTCCCCGTGCCCCCCAAGGCCAAGGCGGGCAAAGGGGGTGTCGGCAGCTGAGCCAGGGTGATGGATTCTGCCAGGGCGGGGACCAGGGTGGCCGCTCGCACAGCCTCTTCCGTTGTCTGCTCTGCTCTCGATGTCCTGCCTGAGGCCAGGGACCAGCCTTCGGCCCCTCCCAGGCCCACGGTGGCCCCAGTCTTCTTCCCCAGCCCCAGATTGGGGGGGTCTCACCTCCCCCTCCAGAGAGGGGAGGGGACACGATGGCCTCCAGCCTCCTCCCCAGGCTCCAGTTTGAGGGGGTCCCTGCCTGGCCCACTCCCAAAGTGCAATACGGCGCCCAGCCTTCCCTGCCCACCTGCCCCTGTGCTGTGACCTACGTGTTCGTGCGGCCATGTCTCCCCCTGTGCCGGCCCCAGTCCTGATGCCCCCGCCTCCATCACAGGCCCCCTGGGGACAGGGAGCTCAGAGCAATAACCCCGCCCCCAGCCCCCACCCAGGAGGGCCCCCCCGGCCCCATGACCCCCACCAGCGACCTCCAGAGAGTTTACTACAAAAATAAAAGAACAGAAAGAAGTGTGAGATGCAGGGCGCCCAGCGTCATCGTGCGTGACCAGTGGGCTCCGGGGTGGGAGCTGGGAGGGGTGTTGGCGGGGGCCTGGGGAGTCACTATCAAGACACAGGGACGAATGAATGAACAACTGGAGAAAGGCAAAAGGCACAGAGGCGACGGGGTAGGACAGACGCAGGAAGTGATGCCAGACAGTTGTGGAGGATTCCAGACACCACGCCCGGGGCCCTTGCCCGCCCTCACAAACACAGACCTCTCCTTAGATAATATATATTAAAAAATAAACCTCCAATTCAGGGTATAAAAACAGAGCAAAGGCACTTGGGGGTGGGGGCTGGCCCCACCCCCCGGGCAATACTGAGATGGCCCAGGAATGGGGGCCAGATGGTGCCCCCATGGAATGAAGCCCTGAGTCCCCCAGGCAGGAGGGAGAGAAGGCCGAGGCCAGTGGGAGGTTCGGGGGGGCAGTGATCCCAGCTGGGCCCCCCCTAGGCGTGGCCCCGGCAGCCTGGCTCCCTCTCCTCAGGCCCTTGGGGTTGGAGATGCTGCGGCAGCTGTGCAGTGGCGGGTGGCCCCCTCCTTCTTGCGAAAAGGCCTGGGGGGAGGGGAAGATGTAGGAAAAGAAGGGAGATGGGGATGGGAAGAGAGACGGAGGGAAAGGGGAGAGATGGCGAGAGTAACAGACGGGGAGAAAGGGAGCGTGGGGAAGGCGCACAGAAGAGCCAGAGAAACGGAAACTGGACAGAGACGGACAGATGGAGGCAGGAGGCAGAGTGGGGAGACGCGAAAGTCAAAAGACAGAGGGAGAGAGATGGATGGGGCTGTGCAGCGGCCCACTCCGGTCCCTCCTCCCCAGGCGGTGCCTGGCTCCCCCAGTCCCCCACTCACCTGCCTGGGGCAGGGGGCCTCAGGTACAGCCAGACTGGGGGACAGTGTTCTCCCCGAGCGGAGACAGGAGGAGTCTCAGGCGGCAGAACTCCTCCTCCACCTCCTGGTTGGGGATCCTCAATGAGAAGGGTCCCTCCACCGACTCAGCCCCCTTCCTCCCCACCCCCCACCCCGAGGCCACCACCTCCAGCTGTTTAATGGTCTCCTCCAGGCTGAGCAGCTCCTCCCGAATTTCCTGGGGCTGTGCCGGGCTTGGGGGGCCAGCCCCTGGGACTCCATCGCCTTCGAGCGGAGGCCCCACCCCGCTGTCTTCCTCCGAGGGAAGCAGGAGCTGCTTCAGGGACAGCACTGGACAGGGACCAGGGAACAGAGTCAGAGGCAGGGCTCGGGCTGGGATGGGCGGGAAAGAGGCCAGGGGCCTGCGGGTGGGAGTGAGCTTCCGCTTGGCCAGACCTGCAGAAGGGGCTGGGGGCTGCAAAAGCGGGTGCAGAGGTGAGGCCGGGGCTAGGGTGGGGGCGGGGCGGAGGGCACCGAGGACAGAGATGGGTCCAGGGAGAGGCTAAGCTGAAGGTTAAGGAAGGGACGGGGCTGCAAAAGGAAGAGGGACTTGGGGCCACCAAGGACAGTGGTGCAGGGTCGGGGCCGGGCAGGAGGTGGATTTGGTGCATTTGTTTCTGGCGGCTGGCTGGCCATACGGCAGGTTGGAAAGCACTGTTCCGGCTGGGCTGGCGGTAGCCCTGTGGGGGTGGGGCTGAGCTACCTTTCTGAAGGGCCTTGGCGGCGAGCTGGCCCTCAGGGCCTGGTCTGCAGAAGGGCAGGAGGGCGCTGAAGATTCTCTCCATCCGGCCTGGGTCGGGGAGCAGGCAGGGGACTCAGATCCTGCTGGGCTTCCTGTGGACACCCCACCCCCACTTGGCACCCCTCCATCTAGGCTCACCGTCAGCCGGAGGCATCTCTCGGCCACCGTTGCCGTTCTCAGAGCTGCTGAGCAGGGGTTCACGGGTGCTGGGGGGAGCAAGTGCTGGGTGACCCCGCCGCCCTGGCCCTGGTGGGCAGCAGGGGCAGGGGGACAGAGAACTAGAGGTGGGGAGGCAGGGAGGTCCGGAGACAGAGACAGAGGTCAAGGCTGGGAGACAGGGAGACAGACAGGCCCGGCTGGTGGAAGACAGAGAGGCCTGGATAGGAGACAGATGGACCGTGGTGGGGTCGGCGCACGCGTGTACACACCTTCACAGGCACGCGCGTGCGCACACACAGACACACACACACACACACACACACACACGGACACACACACGCACGTGGAGACTGGGCTGGAGCTCAGGTTCTGGGGACACACAGGGAAGCTGCCCCCTGCCCTCCACTTGCCTCCCTGGCCCCCTCACCTGCTGGGGCTGGGCCGGTGTTTGGGTCGGGAGGTGCGGGCAGGGACCTTCAGGGATCCGGCGGTCTCAGTGATGAGGGCACACCAGCTGGGGAGACAGGGCAGCCCCTGGGCAGTCAGAGCCCCCAGACCCTGTGCCAGGACCTCCCACCCATCCCCTGGTCCCCCGAGATCCGGGGGCCTGGGCCTCCTCGCCCTCCACCCGCTCTTGGAACCCGGAGCTGCTCACTTTTTCCGCTCCGACACGGTCTGGGCCACCAGCTCGTAGATCTGGGCCTCCTGGTCCCAGGTAAAAATGACATAGAAGGCTTTGTGATCTGCAGGGGGAGGGAGAGGTGAGGCTCAAAGCCAGGGCCATCCCAACATGCACCTGGGGAAGGCCCCCATCATGGTGGCACCTTGTGGCTCCCATGACTCAAAACTC